CCCTCCCCACTCCGGCATCCTTCTCTTATGCCTTGTAACCTAGGTCACCTCGCCGAAGTTGTCCATTCTGAAAGGCGCCAGTGGAACTGTGTTCTGAAACATGTCCCAACTCAACTGGGGCATCCTGGCTTCCCTCCACCATCTCCAGGAAAGGAAGTAGACTGATGGAGGAGAATGCATGGGATTTCATTCTGAAGGTGGAGATGCTTTATGATGGGAGAGGCACATCCATATTCATTTAGTAAAGATGTACCCATGAAACAAGCACTTGGTAGTTTGATAAACCCTGATACAGTGGCTAATAGTCAAGCGTTATCCTTATTGTGGTTGTTGCACTCAACCACTGATGCCATGTTTGCTCCATGACACATGAGTGTTTCCCACCCCTAATTCGGTCCAGCCGTGTTTACAGATCCCTGCCCCCAAACCAGGCGTCCTTGCTTACACTGGATGACCAACCCCATTACACAAAATGCCATCTGCTACTATTCTAGCATTTCAGACACTTCTTCATGCATCAGAGAGGAATCCTTTAATCCAGCCGTTAACATTAGTTTATCCCAAGAAAGATTTGTTTAGAGAACTCGACAAAATTTTAAAAACAAAGAAGTCCCATTAGATCAGAAATGGTTATTGATTTAAGTTTGTTGGCTGTCTTCACAAACCACGTGACCAGGCCCTGTAGAAACCCATCATTAAGAATGCCAATAGTTTAAAGAAGTTCAAATCTAGAGCCACATTGGGAATAGCATTAGTTACCATCCTAGTATAACTTTCCTAAATATTCTCCATTGTAAATGGATCATTTATCTTCAAGATCCTTGGGCTGGTGAGGCAGTCCTGGGCTGGACATAGTATATGATGTCTAAGATGGATATCTGCATCACCTTGCCATCCCTTGGCTTGCTAAATTATGTGGCTTCAGTGTAAAAGAACCTGATTTAGAGTTTCTGCCATTGTTCGGCCTTTGTTGCCTTGAGCATGTGCAGCCAACATCGAGTGATCCTGTAACAGGAGGATGTTTTAAGTGAGAATTATCTCTTTCCATACCATTTCCCAGGCTAAGCCTCTCTCCTGGCCCAGTGAGAATCTCTTCAGCCTCCCCTCCAATCTGTGATGAGGAGGACATGCTGCAGGCCCAGCCCTGCCCGCCGTCAAGGAGCAGAAGCTGAAATGCTCCAGCCTCTGCTCTCAGCACCCATCACTTTCATCCCAGTGAGCCTTAGAGCCAGAGACCTGGGTCACATCCTGGGCAAGTCACTTTCTTGCTGTGGGATGTCAGGCATGCGACTTAAGGAAATTGAGGTTAAGAGAAGTTATCTGCAAAGATGCAGGTTGTAGAAACTAGGGTTGTTTGAGGATCAGATGGGATTTGAGGGGCCCTAGAACTTTACATTGGTTACCTACTGATTTATAGATATCACATGAATCCTTCCATTTAATAATACTTCCAATAGCCATCATCTATTTAAATAAATCCTCAAGATAACCTCATGAATCAGGTAATAGCTCCAGCCCCTCCAAGACTCTGACTTTATAGTTGTAAAATACAGAATTGGTACCTTGCCTAAGACCATTTAGTTATTTAGTGACTGAACTGAGCTAACACAGGGCTATTGTAGTATGAATCTCACATAGTAGATGTCATGGAATCGGGCACAGATAATTTTGGATGAGGATCTTGTTGGCATCCTTCAAATCGTGCACCGTGAATAACCGTCATTCTGTGCGAAGGCGGGCACACCCTGCTCCCAGTCTTAGAATACTTTCAATTGTATATTCAGTCACTGAGGATACAACAAGTTATGCTTCTCTTTTCCCTGCAATAACATCCTTCCTCCAACTCTGGTTCCTGGAATTTTCAAAAGTCCTGATAATATTTCTGGAATGTAAATTTTCCCTTTTCACCATCCATCGCTCTGTGCTCCTTCAGGGCCCCCCGTGCTCCCTCAGACACAGGCTGGTGGGAGCCAGTCTTCTAATGCAGATGCTGACTTAGAGAGGTGACTTCTCCCCATCCATCAACTCTAACTGCATTCAAACATGTTCAATATGTAGGCTTCTTGATAACTTCCACTCTATGGAAAACAAAATGGAGGGAAATGATTATTGGCACAAAGGGGGGAAGTCATAAATCTTCAAATCAGATAGAGGACAGATTGGAACAATATGGGTTCTCCAAGGTTGCCATGATAATGTGCCTAATAACTCTCCTTGGGCAAAAAGGCAATCTGCTTTCAATCAATCTCGCTTTTTCTGAGCAAAAATACCAATTATGTAGAAGGAAGATTTTTTTTCCTCTCTTTTTGATAAAGGCTGCTCTCAACCCCAGAAATCATGCTGTAGCTAAAAGATATATATTCTCAATTGTCTAGAATGGTATTGGACAGCTAGCCTCAAATGAGAAAAGTCAATCCTTTTTTTTTTTTTCCTCTCCTCTCCTGCCTGCATTTGTCTACTTCTTAAGAGAACTGAAAGCTAATTAAAGGCTTAAGGGATAATATTGATTGCATTGGAATATATTTTATATGTACCCAGCACATTTTCAACTAAGAGAACCCTGACTCTCTCTAAGGCTGAATAAATCAGCTGGCGGGGCCTTTGATTCAAGGGTGAGAGGGTGAACTCATCTCCTTCCCTTCTACTTCTCACACATCTGTCCTAGAGATGAATGAGTTCAGAACAGGGAGAGGGAATGCTGGCAGTTGTTCATTCAGTCCTTTGCGTACAGGATGGGAAGGATGAATGTTCAGGCATTTCCCCGGACCTATCATTGATTCGAGTCCAGGTTTGAATAATCACCAGGCTTCTACTGGTATAGAACTTTGAGCTTTGCTGTGCCTGGGGCGGGAAGCTGGCTGGGTGGCATTAACCTCTCAGATCCCTCATCTGTTGGATGGGAATAAGGAGCTTGCCCAAGATCCCACACATCCTTGGTGGCAGAGCAAGGGATCCCGTCTGGCTTATTCTCACATCCAGGTGAACGGGAGGACCTCCACCCGTATGTGTCCTGTGGAGGTGCCCATACGTCGGATTCATGCTGGCCTTGTTTGCAGTCATGGAAGTCTGTGGACAGAAACCATTAGAACTGTCCCCATGCAGCCTTGGATGTCAGATCAGGACACCCTGTGTCTTGGTCACTTTCTGAACACCCCTGGCAAATTCAGAATCAGAAATCTTATGTAAAACATGCAAATCCCTTTGCGGCCTGTTTTGTCCATATAAATGCCCATGTGCTACAAGAAATATTTTAAGAGATGGCAGGATAAAATTGTATGTAATCCAAGTGTTTGGTTCATGTCCCGTGTTCTGACACCCGATGTATTTCCAGAGGGAGTTAGTCATGTGGGTGTGGGGCATTTGGAGAGGTGGCCAAGGGACCTCCTTGAACCTGGCTGGTCCTGGCTAGAAAACAAAGTGATCGTGTTGGAACATCTCTTCTGAGGCAGCCCACAGACAGTCTTTCCTCCCCAGGATGGCCTTCGCTTGCCCGGCCACAGAGTGAGTGTGGCACTGTAACAATAACAGTCCATAATGGTGATATTATTAACTGCATTGTGCATATTATTGATTTACTCTTTGTTCTGCATCATTATCCTTTCACCAATGAGTTTACTGCCTTATTCTCACATACTTAGTCAAGCACCAAATTACAGCGAAAGGGCAGGCTCTTGTAATGGCATCTAATGGAACATTGCATAAGTGATCATCACTTCCTCCCATTATGAGCTGCCTCCAGCCAATGAGCTTTCTGCCTTATTGGAATGTGCACCGAGCAATTATGAGGTGCAGGGGGCCTAGACGTTCTAAAGTTTTTTCCCACGAAATTACGTGCTTCAGTGTTCACCACCTGCCCCTGCCTCAGAACCTGGGCAGGGACTCAGCCTCTGTCCCTAGCAGCCCGAGAGGCACAGGGACCTGGGCTGAACCCCTTGCTATGGTCTTATTAGAAGCCAGAAGGTTGCCTCTCCACAGTCAGGCCCCGGATTTGGGTCATGGGGCTAGCCCTTGTACCAAAGGGCTCAGTCCTGATGGAGCGTCAGATAGCAAATGTCAAGGGCCACCGGGTAGCCAGATTGGTTCAGATTCATCAGATGGGTCCAGGAGCCCAAAGATGTTGGGTGGGACGGTTGTCCCAGCAGTTCTGGAAGAGAGGCTCATCTCTCTAGGGGAAGCCACAATCTCTGGAAACAAAAGTCCAAACCTTGCTGGATCAAGGCAAACCATTCCTGCCTCATTCCTTTCTAGCTTCTCCCCATCTTGAAGTAGAATGCTGTGGCTCTTGTGGAAGTCCTGGGCAGCCCAGGGAAGCAGCTGTCTGGGGATACACAGCTTGTGGCGTGATCTGCGATTCCATAGGCATCCCATCCCCATTTAGCCCTGAGTAATGCTCACTTACTGTAAAGTGTTACATGCCCCCATTGTCGGAGGAGTTATGGCAGAAAAATGCAAAATTTCCTTTTTACTGCTTATGGCCAGCAGAGCCCATAACGTGTCAAGCCGCACATTAGCCACCCTGATAAAAGTCCGCTTTCTTACACACAAAATCATCGTTTCAGCAAGATTTGTTATCTCATTACCTGATAAGCTCTATGTCATAAACCAAGACTCATTCGGTAAATCTCTCAAGAGGACGCTTTGTGGGCAGAAAGGGAAAGATATGAATCTGCAAGGGACTTGATAATGCAGCATTTAAGCACAAGCATAATGTCACTTATTGTTCAATGCATAAAACCACTTGGCCAAACGGTTGGGCTTTTAATAGGATTTTGTGCAGCATCAGGTGAGAAACCATATGCCTTTTCTGCCGAGGAGTCTCTGAGCACCTGCCAGCACCGCTGCTTTGCCTCACGGCCCTCTGGGGATGGGAGCTGGGCTTTCACGGAGGCCTGGGGAGGAGAGGAATGCTTCCCTGCAGCTGTGCGCTTCCTCTGTCTTGCCTGGGGTGGGTGCCGGGTCAGCGCGGGGCTGGCCCCATGTAACTGGCTTCTCCTGTTCAGGCACATTGTGGTCTGCGGACACATCACTCTGGAGAGTGTTTCCAACTTCCTGAAGGACTTCCTGCACAAGGACCGGGATGATGTCAATGTGGAGATCGTCTTTCTTCACAAGTAAGGGGCCCCTGCTGTTTCGAGACCCTCCACTCAACCAGGGACCCTGAGGAGGACTCCCTGAGTGTCTGTAGGAGTGGTGGTGTGGGTGCCAAGTTGGGGGGGTCAGTGCAGAGTTGAATCGGCCATGACCCCAGATGGCCTCCTTGGAGAGGACAGTATGGAACCATGGAAAGGGAACCAACACATTAGTTCAGTGGTGAGAATGGCACCCGCTTCTGTGGAGGCAATTCTGGCAAAGAAGAGTAAAGTTCATTATGGGTCAAACACGTCATTACCTTCCCTTCAGCTGTCTGGATCAATTCGATCCAGGTGTGTCCGCAGTGTCTGGTGTGGAATTAGATGTCTAGTGTGGATTCTTTACAAGGGCAGGAGGGACAGAGTGGTCAGACAAGACACAAACAAGAGGAAGCAGGGTATGAAGTACTAATAACAGCTGCAGCAACAATGGCCATTTCTAGAAACCTCAGTGTAGGACCCTGTGCTGGTCCCTGCCTGTGCATACGGTCTCTCCCTTCATCAACACGGGGAGTCAAAGTGCATGCTGTGAACTCAGAGTATTCTATATAAATCTTGCCGAAGAGGTTAATCTCCCTGGGCCCCAGTTTTCACATTCATAAGATAGGGAGATCACAGTGGTTTCATTCTACCCCGTAGGGGGAATGAAAAGAAATAATCCGTATACAGAATACAGAGCAGAATCAGGCACACAGTAAGTGCTCAATAAATATTTGCTATTATTGTGGAAGATAACATGCATTAGGTCGATAAGCAACTTAGAAGATAGGTCTTACTATGTTTGCTGTACAGTTGAGGAAAGCAAAACCTCTTCTGCTCAATGTGGTTGGGACTTTAAGCTTCACCTGATCCCCTTTTAGGTAAAAGTTAGTCTGCCAAAGGGATAGAGAGTCTGGAGACTTAGGCATGTTGACTTGGGTGGCACCATCTTTTTTGATGGACATTGGGCCACCATAGTGCCAGCACTAACTCCAAGTTATCTAGGGATAAAGCTTATGAGTTGGTGTTGGCTGCATAGCGGGCTGATGGCCCAGGACTCAATCCTGCCCTGAGATCCCATGGAATTCGACTTCCCTATAAGCTTCTGTTCTGTGCATCTCCTTCTTTTTGACATTTGTCCATAGAATACCAAACTGACCACCATGTCTGAGTGCCAGCATTTTGCCTCTCAACACTGAATTCTCCAAGTTCTGAAAGGACCAGCCAGGCCATGAGTGCAGGAGCAGAACTCACAGATTCAGTTCGGTGCTTAGCCTGTCCTTACCAGCTGAGGGGCCTGTCCTCTGCAGAGCATTATGGGAGGTTCAGGAGAAGTAGTGTGCGTAGGTTTTGCCCTCATATCGGTTGGGATTTCAAGATGAGCACGTGTGCAACAATGAGAGCTCAACATCTAACCTATATTCACTGACTGAAGTCAGTTTCATCAGGAGGCAGAATTGCACCAGGCACTTGCTTCAGGGAGAGACCAGCATTTCCTGCATGACCAGGCAGACTTCCCAAGAGGGGCCCAACCAGTAATGGGTCTCAAAGACTGGTCCAATGTGCACAGGGTCGGTTTCTCTCTTACCACAGCTTGAGACTGAATCAACAAGCCAGTGGCCAATGCTTTACTTGCTGGGATTCACCTTCGTGTGGCCAGCATCTGCCAGCGTCAGCACTGTAGTAGACGGCCCAGTTAATTAACCTCTTGAAGATTTGGGTTAATAACATCCCTTCCTCCAGGGTTATTTTGAGGTTTAAATGAGTTAATACTTGTCAAGTGCTTGAAACGGTGTCTGCCGCATAGTAAGTGCTGGAAAACATTAACAATTCCTACTAAGTACTTAATGAGTGTTAGGCAAGCATGGACAAACACGGAACCTAGTAGGTTTGAACCAAATATCATCTCCCAGCGCCTAGCCTGATACCTTATAGAGAGTAGAAATCTTTCATCTCCACAGAAGTAATAAATGGATGAGTGGGTCAATCAGTGTTTTAATCCTTGTTCTCCAATGGGAACGATGTCTGGACAGTTCAGCACTGAGAATGATGAATAGTGTACACATGTGTGAATCAAGAGCAGTACTGAGAGTACATTAACTCGGTCTGTGGCTGCTCAGAGGTGACATGTTTTGATCCAGGCCCTGGGGGATGAGAAGTCCATGTGGCTGAGAACCAGAGAAGAGGCTTTGAGGGAGGGAACGGCAGGAGGCTCTACCAGGGGGCGCCTTCGGCTAATCTCTGATGTCGCGGCTCCGTTTCTCTATTCATAAAGTCGGGATTCCGTTCCTAACAAAGTCGAAGACGTTTCGCCTCATAGGCCTCCGACTTTGTGAAAACTGTGAGCCTCTTTGTTTTACCTTGGTAACGGTTTGGGTTTTCAGTGGGCTGGGGTTTTATTTCTCTCGAGGGTGAAACTTTTATTTCTGGCAAGAAAAGGGGCTGCTTTGAAGGTGAAAGCCTTTTCCTAGGTCTTTCTCTTTGGAAGTCAAAAAAAAAGAAGGCCATGGAAGCAGAAATACTGGAATCTATTATATTAATGGCTGTTTCTTCTCTCCCTGCCAGCATTTCCCCTAACCTGGAGCTTGAGGCTCTGTTCAAACGACATTTTACTCAGGTGGAATTTTATCAGGGTTCAGTCCTCAATCCACATGATCTTGCAAGAGTCAAGGTAAGAAGTAAGAGGTGACTTCTGCTTTTATTCCATCTGAGAGGGGACTGACTCTGTGGTGAGGGCACATGCCTCCTAGGATGGCCAAGAGTCACCTCCGCACCCCTAATGAGATAAGTCAGATGCCACCAGCCTTGACATCACCCTTTCCCTGGTCCCAGAGTTTCATTCCACTGGCACTTGCTAGGCTACTTCCCTCACTTGGACTAGTCATAAAATGAAAGTTATTTTGCCAGTTCCCTCAATGTTAGCACTCCTCAAGGAAGTAGACCAGTTGTACGGATTCGGTAACCTCATATACAATGTAATAATCAAGTAATTCCCCTCTTAAATACTTAAGTTGGTCTCTGTGTAGCTCTGAAATCTATTATTTACATTGGAAAGGAGCATAACATGAAGGATAAAGTATAAATAAATATCTGCCAGGCCATAAAACATTTTTAGCTTCCTTTTTTTTTTTTCTGCCACCAAAGACTAAAAGCATAAAACTAAACATGCAGATATCTGATATCACTTGGTAAAGGGCTAATCTTTCATTCCAAATTCTGTTAAGTTAAAAATCTTCTTATAAAGCAGACCTGAGGCTTATAAAGTAAAAGGATAGAGCAAAGTGACATCTGCTATTTTGCTCGTTTTATATAGATTTTGTAAACACGTTCAATATTTGCATGGCAGTGGATATAGACTAATATTGTGAATCCACTGACTTCTAAATGCTAACTGTGGTCACTACATAATTTAGTGAATAATGTCATTGGCAAACATGAATAAGCAGAAGGATCTGGGTAAATTCTTTGGATTATTAAAGAAAACTAGAGACAATTTGTGACATACTGCAGAGGAAACAATGGCCTCCCACCAAAATGCAGGAATGGTCTATTAAGTACAACATATCAAGTGGGACAGATTGCAGACCTGAGCCAGAACAAGAATTCTTATGCTTATAGAGTCCAGTTAATCTTAATATTACCCAGACATGATCCAAGTTATGACTAATGTGAAATCTAATGAGAACTTGGAGAAAATAGTTACTGTTCAAGGACCTAATTTGATGCAAGCAATTATTAGCATAACTCATCATTCCCTCAAAGGCATAAATCTTATTTTGGCTCATGTTTAGAAAAGTCAGTAGGTTTTGAGGTCATCTGTAACACATCATTTCATATACATAGATTTGTTGTCTTTTGAATATCTGAATGCTAATTGAATACTAAATAATACTGAGTTGTTATCTGATTTAGGGCTCTTATTTCCTCCTGTTCCACAGTGAAGATGTGAAAAAGGTCAGATGAAGGACTTTGGAGTCTCAATATCTGAATCCTTGACTATTCGATTAACTTGGTAACCTGAGAGAAGGGATTTAGCTCATCTGATGCCATTTCCTGACCAGAAAAATTAAGATGATGGGGTAGATCCATTGGTAGGGAAAGGAGGCAGAGAAGGGATTAAAAGGCTTCGTTAATTGTTATTTAAAGAAATCTGGAAAGATTGCATCTAAGTCACTATGCCAAATGAAAAGTATAATTACGAAGGTCCACGTTGTACCCTCGAACAACAACAAGTTGAAATGTTTATACCATAACAAGAACTTGCGAGCTACACTTTTGACAAAAACTATAATCTCTCAGAATTATTTTTTTGTTTCCTTGCAAAGCACCAGATTCCCCAAAAGCTGTCGACAGAGAAAGACTGCAACCAGGCATGGCTATTTATATGTTTGTGTTCTGTGATTTTCCTTTCCGTGTCTTAGATAGAGTCAGCAGACGCGTGCCTCATCCTTGCCAACAAGTACTGCGCTGACCCTGATGCTGAAGACGCCTCCAACATAATGAGGTAACACCGGGGAGACCAGGGAAGGCTCTGGGCTTGGCGCTCTGCAGCCCCTTGGCTGCCCTTTTGGGTTCTCTGCAGAGCATCATCTCTGTGGGAACTTTTTTCCTTCATGAGCCACTCTATAGCTTGCCACAAACATAGGTCCAGGGGAGCTGAGGCGCCGGTGGCTGTGGAGGGCAGTGCCACAAGGCATCATAGACAGGAAGCTTATCCTTGGCAGGTGGGACCCCTGGGGCTCACAGTGGGTCTTGGGTTTGAGATGTTTCAGACAGGACTAGGAAAGAGAGATTGAGATGGGTGTAGGCCTGAAGTAAGGTACCATTTTCCCGAAGGGGGAGTGGACCTGCCAAGACTTGACTGTGGGCGATTTTGTCCCCCAGAGACATTTAGAGATATCTGGAGATGTTATTGGTTGTTGTAATGAACGGATGACGCTGCTCACATCCCAGGAGGTAGAGGCCAGGCGTGCTGTTCAACATCCTACAACACACAGGGGACAGTTCCCCACAGCAGAGAATTATCTGGCTCCAAATGTCAGTAGTGCCAAGCTTGAGAAGCTCCATGTTGGAACTTTCCAAGTGTGTCTGTGGCATTGATTAATATCCCCCTCAAAGAGGAGTTGGTTGACTGATGGGATTGTTTCAGCCGGTTTCCCAGAATGAAACAGTGTCTTCACTGAAAGCCTTCTCAGTGCTTTTAATACTAACATGCTTTTCTAAGATAATGATCGACAGAGAATTTAGCAAACCTATTTGACTCCAACCCTCCCCTTCCCCCCCCACCACCTTTTTTTTACAGAACATCTTTGGGTGGGCAGGGACACACTCTGGAGACCACCACCCAGTGCCCTCCCTGGAAATGGGTGAGGCCCATGAAAGACCATCTCCTGGCCTGACCTGACACGGCTGACCCCTACTCCCTCTTCTTTTCTCATTTCAGAAGAACACTGTTCTTCGACAATGGAATGCCAAAAAAGATATTTAGCTCCGGAGAGTTAAAACCCCTCAGGATTCTTCTTCTCCCCTCCGGCCTACATTGCAGAGTAGTTAAGAGGCCTGGAAGGGAATAATACAGAAATGCTTCTGGAGAAGAGATGAACTAAGAGAAAACATTCCCTCCCACTACATTCCCAGGAACTCTTGCCTAATTGTGAGCAGCCGTCCTTTGGTCCAGACAGACCTCCCTCTCCCCACAGCTTGGTTTGCTGCAGCCTGGGAATGTACTGGGATGAGGTCTTGGGAAGTGGCATCATCACCATGCTCCCGTCTCCCTTCCTTTGCTTCTAATCGGTGGCCCCAAGTGACATGAGCTTTCCCATCACTGAGGTGGGGGACTCCCCTGGTGCATCACGGATGAGCACGTCTGTCTTTCCCTCAGCATCTGGTCCCTGTGTCTGGCAAGCGACATCTGGCACAGTATTCTCTTTCCTCCCACTTTTCTTTGGCAATATGTTTTCGCGCAGTTGTTTTAAGGAAGTTGATGCATGAACTCTTGTCCCCATGGCGCTTGCCAGCCTGCAGGGAGGTGGTGGAATGGGGACATGGGTCCACACCTGGGTCCACCCCCTAAACTAGTCACAGCTGGAATGTGACTACAACAGCTCACTGTCAGGTGCTCCAGAGGGACCCCCTTCCTGAACTAGGATTTCCATCCTTCCCCACGTTTTCATGTCATCTGAAATGATAAAAACGTAGCCTTTCAGGAACTAGTCTTCCTGATCGTGAGATTTTCAAACATAAAAACAAAAGAAAATAAAGTGTAATGTGTTGACCCCTGGAGAAGTTTTGGGGCTAGTGTCTTTTATTTTCCCCCTTCCAAAAGTGAATAATGGAAATGAGTAATAGTTTGGAAATGGGCATTTCTCTGAATGGCAATATTTCATTTAAGCCCAGGCTGCAGTAGGGCCGATATGAAGACTTGTAAGTTACCAGGGTGTTTGGCGGGATGCCACCGCATGAAAATTACAGGACAGAGGTAGCATCAGACATGTGGTGAAGCCATACAGTAACCAGAATCAGAACTAAGGCCCAGGCAGCAAAAGGAAATGGAAAGTTCAGGGTTAAAAACTGGGCTCTGTCTTTCCCTTATTTGTGTAATCCTCCTTTCTCCTTAGTTTAATGAGACCAATCTGCCCCTCTTGAAATTAAAATGTCAAAGAGTCATTTGAAATGAGCTAATGCAGGAGACCCCGCTCTGGCAGTGAACGGAATTCAGGGCTGACGGAAGCTCAGAGTCCTTGAGTTATAAGCAAGAGCCAACACAACACTTTTTCAACAATAAAATGAATTCCTTCAAGAGCAAAAGCCCGGGGTGAATTTGTGCAGGAAGAGGCTTCTGTGCGATCCGTTTCCTAAATTCACAAGTTGTAGCTTTTCAGATAAAACTGCTCCCTGACTGCCTTCTCTCCATTTTCCCCCCCAAAAAGGGATGAAGCACGGAGAGGTTTCTTGGTGCAGAGTTTGTGGGGGTGGTCCTAATACATGCACTTGCATTTCTGATTAGGCTTCGCGGTGGGCTGTCCTGTGGAATTCTATTCTTTAGCCTTCCTTGTCACAGAAGGAAATGTGCAATGTCACCTCTGACAGAGTCGGTAATGACAAAAACCATAACTTACACGTGGAGAGAGCTTTTAATGATTTCAAAGCATTTCCACATCTGGTCTTTCATTTGCTGCTCATACCAAAGCCTGTGAAATAAATAAAGCAGGTACCATTGCCCCCAACGTCCAGATGAGGAAGCAGTCACAAAGAACCCAGGGATTTCCTGAAGGTCACCCAGTTCCTTAGTGCACTGGGACTGGAATCCAGGTGTTTCTACTCCTCCATTTGTAACCCAGTCTCAGGGAGCAGGAGCCAGGGGGTGGATTGGGGAAGGGCAGTGACTCATAGGCAGTATAGACTGAGGGCAGTTTGTCTGGATGGTAGGGGGCAGGGAGAGTGGAATTTTCTACCAGACGGTGGCCGTCCAGCCAGGCCTTGGATTTTTATTTTCCACCAGCATTAAAGTCTTCACTTAGACTCTATTATCTATCAAAGGCTGAGTCATTGATCCCGACATAAGAGCCCTGCTCAGAAATCATTTTTGTCAGTGGCCGTGTGTGTGACAGTTCGTATCATTTGTCAGGCTGGTTGTTTGATTCGTCATTGTTGTCTCAAGTTGCTAACTTGGAGAACTGGACTCAGAGCAAGTTACTTCTAGGCTTGTCCCCAGGGTATGTGAGATTGCAAACCTCCCTCGGCCCATGGGTTGAGCTCGCCTTATTTAGATGTCTCTGTAGGCAGTAAGCCTGTGACCCTGCTCTGGAGCCGCGGCCCCACTACACGGGCTCACACGCCGACACCAAGGCACCAGAGAACCGCTCTCTTCTTTCCTGCCCCGGGCACAGTCTGTGGCCATTCTGTTGATTTCTTTCTCACGCTGCCATGGGGTACGGTGAGGGACACCGTTCAACCAGGCCCTGTGCCGGCAAGCCTTCTGGATGGTCCTGGCTGCTGGCCCCGCCTTCACTCTGGGCACAGTCAAATTCGCGTTCCCGTCAGACTCCAAGAGTAGGACAAACCCTGCCTCAGCTTTGGTTCTTTCTTTTTCAGAGTAATCTCCATAAAGAACTACCACCCAAAGATAAGAATCATCACTCAGATGCTGCAGTATCACAACAAGGTAGGACAGCGAGAGGCGGGGCCCGTCGCAAGCTCAGAGGTGCACAAGCATGCCTGGTCTCTCTCCTCTCACTGTACAGCTGTGTGTGCACACACACACACGCACATGCACACATACACAAATGCACGTGCACACATACACACGTGCACATGCACACACACAGGCACCCACCCACCCAACACACACACACACGTGCACACATGTGCTGTTGTAATCCAAAGGGTTAGACAAGGGGTGCTGGGTACAAACCTCCCTGGGGCCTTTCTTCAGTGCAAGCACCTTGTTGACTGCTGCTCACTGGAAGGCAGCATCTGTTGGACCCCCAGGTTGGAATATTGATTTAACCTTAGATCCCAGTTTCAACAATGTCCATTTTTTATGTGCTCTACTCCTTTCTTTCTTTCTTTCTTTCTTTTTTCTTTTAAAAGATTTCATGTATTTATTTGACAGAGAGAGAGAGAGAGAGAGAGAGATCACAAGTAGGCAGAGAGGCAGGTGGGAAGCAGGCTCCCCGATGAGCAGAGAGCCCGATGTGGGGGTTTATCCCAGGACCCTGAGATCGTGACCCAAGCCAAAGGCAGAGGCTTTAACCCATTGAGCCACCCAGGCGCACCTCTACCTCATTCAGTATCTCCTGCACCTGATACCTCATTCAGTATCTCCTGACTAACTGCTATGTGCTCAGTGCGCTACCTGACCTCCCTAACCCCCCAGGCATATAAGTGAAGGAGTCCTGCCTTGTGCCCTCAGGGATGGACGTGGTAGTCGGGGGTAGAGAGCTTCCCAGGCGAGTGATAGGGTTTTGCTACCAGAGACCAGGTGACGTGGAGGAGCAGACCACGCACAGGGGCGGGGGGGGGGGGGATGAGGAACTCGGCCTTCTCCTGCTGCAGAGGAGAATAGGCTTGGTTGAACCGAGGGGAAAAAGTTGCTCTCCAGAGATAAGACATAAAGGAATTTTCCTCCTGTTCTAGTTTAGAAGGGGATTGGGAAGAAAACAAACGTTGGAGTCTATGCTGTTTCACTTGTGATTACTTCTCAGTCTCTCATTCAAAGGCACTGCTCCTTCACACCGCCTGTCACTGAGCTCCCAGGGAAACAGCTTTGGGGGAGGGAAGGTGGCACCTTTCTCCGTTTGATGTGGAACGGGTTATTCCCCGTAATGAGGCTGGGAAACCAGAGGCTGCTCAGTACCTGGAACCAGGTGTTCTGTCTGAACACAATAACTCCCCGCTGGGTTATGAGTGAGTGTATGTCCATCTTCTAGGCCATATTTCCTACGAAATAGGCAGTCAGGTGACCCAGAGAAGACCCTGTTTTGCCAAATGCACCAGTGCCATGCCATTATTTCTTAATTACTGGCAAGGGCTGCCCCATTTCGCCACGTGGAGGCCCATCAGAGGCCATTGTGAAGTGGGGCCTGCTGTTGGCGACGGGCCTACCGCTTGGGTCTGCTGCCCACTGCCCGGCCCTCGGCAGGTGCTTCCACGGCATAACGTGTTACACTCCAGCCAGTGGGCTTGGTGGTGGGCACCCAAGGTCCCATTGTCCTGTTCATCTCTGGAAAACCCAAGGACACGGAAGACATAAAGTGAGGATATGGGGGACTCACATGCATCGGTCTGGAGAAGTTTCTAGACAGCAGCCCCTATAGGTGGAGGGGAGTTTTATTAGCAAGCCTGTGGCTGGAGACAGCTCCTCAGGCAATAAACTCTTCTTTCATTTATGATTTGAAATTTCATTCAGTGTGGGAGTGCTTTAAGCTGTTGTTTAGGTTTTTGGCTGAATTTAGATTGATGAGGGAAATTAATGTAGTATGTTTAGAAAGGGCTGTCAATTCCTTTTTTTTCCCCTTCCAATGAGTATGGATGCCACCTCTTCAAGAAATTCAGGATGGTTTCAGCTGTGATTTCTGTCAAAGTCCAAGTAGCTGAATGGACCTAGGATCTGGATGGAACCTGGTCAGTACTCACATGACCACAGCCACAGTGAATGTCTGGTCCACACTGAGGACTCTGGTACAAACCTTTTCATGGTAATTATTCAGGAAAAAATGATGGCAACCAATCCTGAAAACACATTTTCAGGAAATGTGCCGAAAACATATTTTTGCTTAGAATCACCCCAATATGTTGGGGTTTCAGAGTCAGGGAAAATCACGTGTGAGACTTTGCCCCTGTAGGATGAGTAATGGATGAGCCCACTTTTCTCGATCATTTCCTTTCCCTCTTTTAGAGGGAGCAAAAAGTCCACTGGTCATTGTCATCCCATTCCTCATGGAATTGCAGATGGACACTTGTCACCCTGCTCTATAACTGCTATTTTGTGAGATGCTCCCACCTTCTCTTTAATCTGTTTTTTTCCCCATTGCCTTACAGTCTTATTTTTCTTCCTCTCTCTGTCCTTTCTCTTCATCCATGAATAAATGCCCAGAGACCTCCACCCATTAAAACTTGCTTTCTTGAAAGAACCTGGTATGTGCATGTAAACTTATGTTGCACTCAACACACTTTAAGTGATAGTTAATTGCATAATTGGATATGAGACTTAAAACATAAAGAATTTCAATTCCCTGTGCTCTAATGATGCTGGTATTCCAGGGCCTAAAGGGATGTAGGCAAGCTGCCTACTTCTCTCCAAGTAAAATTGGTCCTGAGTTTGTTATCATAGTAATCTTAGATATTTGTGGCGTATTTTATGGTTTTAAAAGAGCTTGACATCGATTATCACATTTAGTCCTCATTTGGCCATCTGTGCATGCTAGCGTCCCAGTGTGACTCCAGACCGGGAGTCTGTGCTCTCCCAGACGGAGCAGCTCTGGTGGGTACAACTCGTGGTCACTTGGCAGGCACTGAGCTAAGGACAGAATGGCCAGCTGTCACCTTCTCTGTAAATAGAGCCCACCCCACTGAACCAAACTGTGGTTCCTCACAGCAGGCCTTCTAGAAGGACTGGTGTTCTCTAAAGTGGATCTGATTTCGTGGAGAGAAACACTCAGCCCAGCCCAGATGTCTCTGAACACAGAAAGAAGATGGTACAGGGCACTCATTTTTGATTTGAGTGTTGTAAATGTCTTGAAGCTTTTCAAGGAAAGAACAGTTGATGATATAATAGTAAAGTATCACTTCCGATGACTTAGCTGCTAATGGATTTTTAATTTTCCGGATAGATTCTAGAAAAAAAAGGTCTTTGTCGGGCTGCCTGGGTGGCTCAGTGGGTTAAGCCTCTGCCTTCAGCTCAGGTCATGATCTCAGGGTCCTGGGATCGAGTCCCACATCGGGCTCTCTGCTAGGCAGGGAGCCTGCTTCCTCCTCTCTCTCTCTCTTTCTCTACTTGTGATCTCTGTCAAATAAATAAAATCTTTAAAAAAAAAAAAAAAGGTCTTTGTCTAGGACCTAGAAACCAAGTCCCAATGGCCCAATGGTGATGCAAGTTCTTTGAGCTTTCTCACTAAAAACACTTAGATACTTGGGCAATAGTGTTGAAGTGTTTTCTCTGTCGTGAACTTTGTTCCTTATGGTGGCTTTCTCAAAGTTATTTATGTATAGGGAAGGCTGGGACTGGACTTGACCTCTACTGGTTTCCCAGGAGAGCATATTTTCACATTCCTCCTTCTTGAGATGAAGAGTGGTCCAGTGGCTAATCAAAGGGGGACCCTGGTCCTGCTACGCCTGTTTTATCAGGCCTCATTCTTCAGATCCAGGATTTACCTCTAGACTTCTGTGCAGTGATGCTGGCATTTTCCAGTGGACCCAAATATTCCTCAGATGAAGGACAGAAGTGTCAGAAACAGAGGATTTGAGTTCCTTGTGAAATTTCCTCTCTTCATCTCATGCACACAGATGTTCCTCCTGGCCTTTGGTACATCCCTCCCTGCTCCCTGCCCCACAATTGGGGAAGATACAACGGCCCATGAAAGGAGGCCATATGGAAGCCTGAGAACTGAAACAGACTTGACTTTCCCATGTAATAACATGCGAAATATGTCTAAGGAACTCAAACCAGTTGGGGACAGGGGGACCCAAGGCCCAAGAGCCTGGACTTCATACCTTCAAAAACCTGGCACATGGGGATATGAGAGACTCTCTGGAAAAGGCTTTGTTTGATTGTTCATTTGCTTGCTTGAAAGTGCCATGAAGGTTAGTAAAGGGGGAAGGTGGCCTTTGCCAGCCAGTGAAGAGTTGGGAGAGAAACAGTGTAAGGGGCAAGAAGATCGGCTGGAATCAGGCCTGTGATGGGAGAAGGTCTCTGATACTCAGCTTGGCAGAAATTACCATCCACCATGGCCTACACACCAAACTTTTTAACCTTGCTCTCATTAGGGAGGATATGGTCTTCTCTCCCAGGAGTCACTGCTGGCTTAGGACTTGTGAAACTGTCACAGGACTTTGAGGAAGGGATTTCACAAGAAGGGTATTTCTGTTAGCAGAGCAAGAAGCCATTGGACTTGTTCTTGTTTCCATAATGGCATCTTCTCTTCTAGTAGGTACAACCGTAGTGTGTTATCCTGACAGTGAAGGGAAGCCTTCTGTAGGATGCTTCTGGTGTTTGCTGGTACCTGGAGAGAAATAGGCGTTTCAGGGCCATAAAGTCTTGGCATCCACGGGGGGCCTAGTAGGGCTCTCAGCTACAATCTCAAATGCAAAGCAAGCGGTCTTTCTCTTATGACTTGGACAAACACTTATAGAATTTTTGGGACAAAGACCTTGCATTTTGGGAGGTAGCTTTCTCCATTTATTAGACAAATTACATCCTTAGAAAGTTCCTTTATAAAATAAGCCAAAAAACTGCTTTCTTGTAACATATACCAGTCAGTCCTAATTCTGGCCCCTGGAACAAAGCAAGACAAGCCTAATCTCTTTTCATTGCCCCAGCACCTGAGGCTTTCAGAGGTAACCGTCTTGTCTCCGTGAGGGTGTGGTCCTTCTTTAGGCCAGACACTGCTGGCTCTCTTAACTGTTTTTCATAAGACGTTTTCCAGAACCCCCACCTCTCCTTGTGCTTGTCATTTTTTTCTGGAAGTTATTCAATTGATCAGTTTCCCTCTTTAAATCTGGCTGTTACAACAGGATCAAGTACTCTGGAACCAGCCTGACCGGTTCACAAGAGAATGAAACATTCGTTTCCCTTGATCTGGAGACCATTTCTAACAAGCAAGCATTGGCTTTCTCTGTAATCTGTCACACAGTTGGCCTCTTTTTGGGATTTGAGTTACCCACACACTTAAGTTTTTTTCCCTTCTTTCCCCCTCAGCTCTACTGCCAAGTTAGATCTTCTCATTTTGAATTTATACAATTGATTTTTTTTTTCGAACCTAAATGCTGCGCTTGACATTAAGACATTTAAAGATCTTTCCTTTAAAAATCTTTAAATTTAAAAATCTTTCCTGGTTGTTCTTCTGCCCATTTTTCCAATCCTGGCAAAGTTTTTGAATTTTGACTCCTTCATCCAATGGATAATCTCTGACTCTGCTTCATGCCGCTTAAAACTAATCAGATGAGCGTGTGTCTGTGTCCTTATCCTGGGGTGCGACCTGTGACATAGGATCAGTCCATCTGCAAGAGATCATAATATGTCTACACTGTGATTTGCCTGATGATTTAGGTCAGTGCTTCTCAAAGTGTGGTCCCCAGATCGGCACCTTGAATTTGTTAGAAATGCGAATTCTCCAGCCTCACCCCGCACCTTACTAGATCAGAAACTGTGAAGGAGGGGCTGGCAATATGTGTACCAACCCACCAGGTGATTCTGAGGCCCACTCAGACTTGGGAGCCACTGACCTGGAGTTTCGGGGATGCAGATTAAAAAAAGATTCTAAAACACACAGGCAACGGAGCGTCCGAGTCTGTTTGAGGAGCTCATTTATGAACAACCTAGCGAGATATTCTAGTAACGTGGGCTGATGTGTCTGTCCCAAGAGGAAATTCCCTCTGGACTCTGTTGGTTACATGACAAACCCCAGGGGAAGACCTGGGTTAGGGAGAAGCAACGTTGCAGAGAGAACCCCGAGGACTGAAGTCCACAGAATAGGGGAGTCAAATGAAACAGCGAACAGCAGGCTCAGGCCAGGAAAAGAAAGGATGAGTCTGAAGGCCTCTGAGCCGTTGGGCAGTGGTGCCTTTCCCAGAGGGGATTTGCCACCGTTGAACATTTAGCAACCTCAGTTCTCATACCTTGCGTTTGCTTCCACAGGCCCATCTGCTAAACATCCCGAGCTGGAACTGGAAAGAGGGAGATGATGCAATCTGCCTTGCGGAGCTGAAGCTGGGGTTCATAGCCCAGAGCTGTCTGGCTCAAGGCCTCTCCACCATGCTCGCCAACCTCTTCTCCATGAGGTCATTCATAAAGGTAACGTCTCGTCCTATTAGAGTCCATTAGCCCTGGATTCAGTTTGTCGTGGGGTTGAGTAGAGAGCACAGCTTAAACTCAAAACAGATCGACAGGCTTTAACCACTCTGGTTAAGGAGAAATTCCTGGTTACAGATTTGGGCACGAGGCCAACTTCTTTCAAAATTATGTTTTTATTTTTATTTGGCACATCCACGGCCATTAAATGATTGTTCAAAGCACAAATCCTCTCTTTTTTTTAGATAAACCACATGTTTATCTATCAACAAAGCCTCCGCTGTTAAAACAAAAATATGATTTATATACATTCCATATGGCACCAGAGCGCCTAAAGAAAAGAATTATCATTTTGCTTTTTTTACATCAAGTGGCTGGTGGACCTCTCACTGTGCAGATAAATGCAGACCATGTGTTTGTGCTGAAGCCCAAACCCCAACAACATAATTCATTTATTTATTTCTGCACAATCAAGGAGGCCAGCAGGGCTGACATGCCACGGTTGTTTGAATGGAGAGTGGAACGAGGGGCCGACTCCTCAGCAGCGGCGCCCTGTGTGCCATGAGACGGGCGGTCTGGCTCTGCTCGTCTCCTCTTCAGCCGGCTCACCCCATAGAGTGGGCTGGGCAGCCACCCCAGCATCTCCAGAGTGGCCCCTGCCTGCCGGGCCAACCCAGGCAATGAAAGACGCAACTCTGTCCTCACAGGTCAGGCCGGGGCATTGGCCCGGCCAGGGCAGGCCCATTTCCGGGATACTGGGTTGAAGGCCTGGCCCTTCCTAAGAGGGCTTTTGGAGTAATGATAACACCCGTCCTCATCTTTGGATTGTTCTTAGCCTAGACCAGTCAAGGAGGCAGACCAGGACAGGAAAACCTGCCCAGTTTGGGCCTTTCTGACTTGGCATTGGTGGCTCAGGATTTGGGCTTCGGTTTCCCCTTCCTGCAAGAGTAGGGATGGAGGTGGGAAAGTTGTGAGTTAACCAGGAGGTCCCATGAGGGGGGCTAGAAGCCCTGTGATCCTAGGTGTGATACCTCCAGCCCTTGGCTGCCATTACTGCTGTGTGTAGCACTGGTGGTCCGTTGTCCCGGGGAGTCGAGGCGATGGCCCTGGAGGCAGTGGGAAGGATGGGCGGGAAGAGTGGGGCTGAGACGAAGGACCGACTACATTCATGGGCTCACCCAGGGCGTCCCCAGCTGTGGGATTAGAGCAGGGCTTTTCTCTCAGTCCTTACCCTCTCTACCCACCTAATTTACATTACATAGGCAATTCCTAGATAAAAATCCTTTATGTGAAAGGACAAATTGTGCTGGAGTCTTCTTCTATCACTTTAGCAAAGGATGCCTTGATCAAAAAATTCCTTCAGCTCCCTATGTCCCCAAAGACCTCAACTCCACAGAACTCCAGGCTCAGACCCAGCACACAAATAAGGATATTGCGGTTTTTTTCTTTTCTTTCCTTTTCTTTTCCTTTCTTTTCTTTTCTTTTTTCAATGGCTTTTTTAATCCAGGCTGCTATTCCCCTGCCTGGATGAAACTGAATGCAGGCTAAATGGAGTTGGCAGGGGAGGTCTGTGTGGTGGGACTGAGAGGCATGCCCCAAAGCCAGATGTAGCCTTGTGTCTCCCAACAGCTCTCGTGTTCAACACAAGGAACCCAGACCCCAGGATAAAGGACTGTCACCAAGAGAGCTCTTCTGGCTCATTCATCTGAGCTCTGGTGGTTTCCTCCAGCAGGGAGTTACCCACAGGCCCAGGCACGAGGTCTGAGACCTGGGCTCTGCTTCCTTTTGTTGATGGAACACGGTCTTGGCAGGGCCCTACCGCACATGGGGCACTTGACATGCGTATGTTTTGATTTTGTGGTGCCTGCATGGAAACTGGAGCTGCCTGTCAAGAAAATTAATAAAATGGATATGACGCTGATTCCTCAGTGTTATTACCGAGCAGGGAGAAAGAACTTCTGTCCAACTCTCCTCAAGACCCTGCAGGGCCTCACCTCTGGAGCCCAGGACGTCCCCTCCAGCCTAGCGAATCCCACTGCCAAGTTCCTATTTAGGAAGAGCCTGTGGAAGAGGCCTGGCTGGGCCCTGGTGTAACTGAAAACACATTTCCCTCCTAGGGTTATGTTACCGTGTCATTTCTGCCCGGGGCCAGGTCCCCCATGTTCGGAGGTAGCTCTCTGAACATGGCCTCTTGACATTCAGGTGGTCTTTGTGTTGGAATTTGCTAAGGCACGTGACCTGGAAATAGCAAGGTTTCCCTGCATCTATTGTTTTCAGTTAAAATAAGGACCGCCGGAAGCATGTGTTCCCCATTCTGTGGAATCACGCTGGTGCACTGACCCTCCAGATCCCTGATCCTTGTCTCCTTCAGGTCATGATAAACACCTTGATGATGGTCTCCTCACAAGTTTTATATATTATCTCCTGTTCTCGAGGTCATGGCGTCTTTACTCATTTTTATTGGGCGGGGGGCAGATGGAAAAGGAAATCTAGAAATGGATGATTGTTGCCAGAAAATTGCTTCCTGCCCCAGTGTCCCCCATGTCCTCCGGCAGAGAATTCATTAGTACTTCCATAGGGACGGGAGGGCCTCGAGGATGGAGGGAGGTGGGATGAGGCTTTGGCGGATTCCATCCCTTGAGAACACTTAGTGTTTCTGGAAGCCAGAGGTGGAGTGTGTGCTCAGCCTGTCACTTGCCCTGGGCACGTACAGCATCTGTTTCTTGGTTCTGAAGAATACATTGTACTCTATATATATATCACAGGCAGAAGCACAGTGGCCGCCCACGGGGACTTTAGTGTCCATGAGACCGAAAGCCAAGGCTGAAAGGGAGGATAATAAAGCTTAGCAAGAGGGAGGGGCTCCTGCTATCCAGGGGTTCCAAGGGACCCAGGCCAGTGGTACCAGCAAAATATGGGGAACACTTGTGTGTCCCCTTAGCAATATCACTTTCAAAGGCCCTTACCCCTGGGCCTCATTGCCCTCTTGAAAACCTGGTTCCCATGTTGGCTATGTCATCTCTGAATTGATCTAAACTTTTGGAGCATCTGTATTTTTAGCCCACCTCTTTGGGGTAAGGAATTCAAGTGTGCTAACTACTGTTAAAGACTTTTTCCTGGCTATTCTTATGTAATTTGCTCTGCTTAACCTTCAAGGCATGTCCTCTGAAGTTTCTGGTATGCTGGGATTTAACAAATCCATGATAACCTGATAGCAAATAACTTCATGAAAGAGGCACAGGTTGGCCACTCAGGGGTCCTCGGACCCCACAGCCTATTGCTAATGCTAGGGTAAGCATTTTCTCCAGCAGCACCCAGTTTTTGCCCTGAGTTCCTCCAGGGAGGGAAGGCAATGGTCCTGGTTCCTGAGACTAGTCTATATCTCCACTGTCAACCAGGTGTGGAATATCCTGTGTATTTACTGCTATCTGATCTCCTACCACCTGCCTGTCGGGTTCAAGTGAGAATCTTCCTATGATCTTCTGTAAAGACCAAGATAATGAACTTATTTATTTAGCCTCTCTGCCATTGCCTTGCTCCTGAGTCCCTGAGTAAGTGGCCACACTTACCCTCCACTTGGCTTCCTCCTTTCAATGTATTTTAAGATCCATTGATTTTTTTTTTTTCCTTGGGTTTAGAATTTTAGCATGTAATACTTTAGTGTCTCTTCAGCATGTGTGGTTTCATGTTGAGGCTTGACCTGCCATCTTTGTGAATTGTGCTATTATTCTTACTAGGATTAGCTGTCCTGGGCATGATAAATTGTATGTGTGGGTGTTGTGTATAATTTAGAGAGTGATTAACTCTTAACATTTCTTTTCAGTCTGTACTGACTCTTCAAAATTTAGCAGATTTAAATTATTCTCAGGATTGCTGAGCATTTGAACATTGCTAAGCTACCGTTTGAGTGTGTGTATGCGTGTGCGTGTACACACACACACACACATACACACACCCTGGTACATAGCATGTACTCTGTAATTATTTCTTGTGGGTGAAATGTTACTTGATATCGATCACAACATGGTCTTCTCTGTCACCTTTTCTATTTCTGAATGAGGAAGCCATAGGAAAACCAGGTGTGTGTTATTCAGAGTGTATCTTGGCTGAGGTGGACCTTGCTGGACCTGAAAACCACTTGTTCATTATTGATATTATCTCATTAAGATAAACTTTCAGCAATACATAGTCCTAGCTAGCACAACTTGTAGGCCAGGGAATCATTTTAATTCCTTTATTTCGGTGATGTTTATGTGCATCTGTGTCATTTTTTATATGCATGTATAAAAACAATATGGTTTAGGAGCTGGAAATATAAATCAAGACTCTAATAATAGCTGAACTATCTTGGGTTCTAACCCTGTGCCAAGTCCTAGGCTAAGTGCTTTATAGACATCAGTCATTTAATTCTCACGATGACTGTACCCACCACTGGCACTATTATACCCACTTTCCAGTGGCAGATACTGTGGGTTGTGAGAAGTTCAGTAACCTACATGAGGCCAGAACACCTGGAATTGACAAACTCACATGTCAAACCAAGCAAATTGGTTCCAGGTCTTTGAGTATACCAGGAGGAAATACGGTAGGGGCACCTGGGTGGCTCAGTTGGCTGAGCATCTGCCTTTGGCTCAGATCATGATCCCCGGGTCCTGGGACTGAGCCCTGGATCAGGCTCCCTGCTCAGCTGGGAGTCTGCTTCTCCCTCTGCCCCTCCTCCACCTTGTTTTTTTGTTTGTTTGTTTGTTTGTTTGTCCCCCCCCCCCAAAGAAATAAATAAAATATTTTAAAATAAGAGGAAATACGGTAAGGGGGAAACTTAGCTTTCTGTGGTTAGACATGGTTGCTTCGATAGAGATTCCCTGGGCACCTACTGTATTCCAGGCAGGATGCTAACCACACTGACATTCTCATGGCTAGCAGGCACTCATAAGCTTCAGGAAGCTTCTGTTATGACTGGGATGCATGGGCACACTTTTTGCAAGATGCATTCTCTGGGTCTT